AGGTATATGCACACTTTTAGTATTGATAACACTCAAAGTTTTATAAATGAGACTGCAGGAGTCCCAGTCAAATCTCAGTTCTTTACAGCACAAGTCCATGTTGATCATGAAGTCTTTCATTTCAACCTTGAGTTGCCAACTATAGTGAGTTGTTACTGAGTGCTCAAACAACATTTCTGTCATCATTCTTAACGTTACTCAAATCTTATTTTTTGTTAGATCACAATAAATGATTACATCGTTAGTAAACAATTCATGATGATGGTGTGAATGTATTTCAGCTTGGCTAACAAGTGATTTTCAGAGAAATCTGGCCTCACTTGTCAGATGTGCAGTTTATAAAAACCAAGAGACTGCACTTGTCAGCATATTGTGAGATAATTATTCATTTGGCCAAATGGGCAGGTAGGGCTTTTTATCCTTCAACTCTCTGGCAACATGACATGTTTTCATTTTCAGTAATACTCTTAATAAGGGCTTTTTTTTCTTTTTTTTTTGCATCTTGTGACATTCACTTATAAAAACCATGACAGATGTTTAAGAATGATATAAAATTATGTGAAAATCACCCATTGGTTTATTAACTTGCCTTTCTTTCAAAGTGAAAAACAAATAAGTTTGAAGTAAGTTGTTCATAAAAATGTGTTTGAAATTGTATCAGAAAAGAGTCATCACAATTTCTATTTTTGCTAAACTTTATTAATAAGATACCAAACATGATGGCAGGTTTGATCCATGTTTTAGGAAAACAAAACCGATTTCCAATTTCTCAGCAACACATGACAAAGTTGCTGATGTTCAAGATTCCATTTTATGAAGTAGCAGCAGGTGTTGTAGCTGCTGTTGTAGTTGTTGTAGTTGTGGTGGTGGTGGCAAGAAGCTGGACAAGCAGGGATAGCAGGGTGGCAAGGTTAGTTGTTGAGGTCTGTGGAAAATCATAACAGTAGTTAGATATATGGCAGAATTATGCAAAAATTACACAGTAAAAGTTGGTCATTTGTTGTTTATAATAGAGAAAAGAAATGATTCTCACCTCTCCGGAGTTCGATCCAGAGCCAGATCCAGAGCGAGCAAATCGCTGGTGCTCCATCTGAAGAGAACAAACAGGTTCAGTCAGTCTGCAGTTTCTATTGACTTCATTTTCACAGCAGACCAAAATGAGCTCAAGAAATTATACCAGCATCATGATAGAAAGCAGGAAATATCTTGGTACATGTGTTTCTGTCAAACCATCTCAACATAAAAAAAGAAAAACTTTAAAATTATCTGACTTAATTCTTCTATAATATTGTCACTTACTGGTGTAGCCACAATGAGGCTCAGGAGGCATCCAAGAATAAGTGCTACCTTCAGCATGGCTGCAGTGATTTAAGCTGTTGGAACATGAATAAAGTCTTTATCAAGCAAACAAATTGGTTCAATTGTATGAAATAAATGAAGCATAAATTCATATAATCACCGTAGAGTCTTCTCTAGTTCCACTGACTGTCCCAAAGGAGGTTGTAGTGCTGAGCTGAATTTTGGACTCCTCTTATATACAGTATCAGGATCAGAGAAGTTAGGAATTTTTCCTTTTTAAATATGTAATCTTGCTGCAATGTCTAAACAGGTATTAGATACACAATCCACACCTTCATAGCTCTTATGTGTCATAAAATTCTTCAATGTTATAATCAATAATAAATCCATTAAATTTCCCCTGCTTACACCATTCTTAATCTCCTAGAAATAAGCTGATGCCAGACCTTTTGATTAGAAACGAAGGGCCTGCATGCAAACACACAGGTAACGTGTAGGTGTGTTTGTATCCAGGTTATTGAAGTTTTTGAGAAATGTTTTCACGTTTTTAGAGATCATCTGTTTAATCAGCTGAATTGTATAATCAAAATTGATGTCATCTTTGTGTGCCAAGAATCTGTAGAGGCCTTGGCCAACAATGTTTTTAGTAATCTGTTGTTCTGGATTCTCTGCAGATGTGTAAATATTAACATTACAGACACTACAGAGACTGTACCCTGGCCAACAAGTAAGATTAGCCACCTGAACCTGAATTCCTGAAGAAAGACTGATCATACGCTTGCCAAGAAGAGATGACGTCTCTAATTGGATCACAGAATTAGTGTCCCCTACAATCCCTTTTGTAAAATTATATCTGAAACTGCAACTTTGTATAAAACAAGAAAAATAAATAAATTAAAGGTCACTTTAAAGAAATATAAGGTCCAGTTCATTGTTAAAAATCTTCAATTCAATAAAGTGAAAAAATAAAAATTACTGTTGTTTGTGTAATTTCCTTTTCTCTAATTTTGGATAACGTGGTGAAAAGAGAAGTTAAAGATGGTTTAATTTCTAAAAAATATATAGCTGTAGAATATCCAAATCAGGAGAGGTAAAGTTAATCATCTCCCTTCAGAAATTATTCTTAAATTGGAAATATATATCATGTAAGTAATTCAAAATTTTCAAACAAACTTGTCTTATTACTATTATTTTTCCATATTAAACATTGTGTTTATTTCATCAGCATAGGAACATGCATTCGAGTATTTACTGATGTGGAGTAAATATATGTCTGCTATCTAACTGCCATGTCATATAGTAACTTCACAAAGGCTCATTTTAAAATCCCGTCAATGGAACAAACTGTCCTGTTGGATTTTAAATTAGGCAAAATGTTCATTAGACATCTCCTAACACACCTTTACACCTTTCAAAGTGTCAACTTTTCATGTATCTTAAAGTCCTTTTGAAGAAGTGCTAAAGGTAATTGTTGTGATGTTTGCCACACAACATGCTAGTAATAAACTTAATCTAAAGAAATATATCAAGTGGCAGCTCCGCCTCTTAGGGGTGGCCAGGATTTTTTATTTTTTTATTTTTATTTGCTTATTTATTTATTTTGTACTATGCCATATTTCTGATGACAATATTGTTAAAGTTGATATTGGAGACAGATGCAAAATCGAGAAGATTCACATTCAATTGAAAACAATTTCATTTGACAAAATTATGTATGTATTTATTTATTTAAAATGTAGTCAAAGCAAAGAATAAGTTTCAGTTAAGTTGTGGCAGATATTCCACCAGGCCTTGTCCCCTCAGCAGTGATGTTTCTTCTTTCCTTTTAACATCTATGGCTCAAACAGGAAGGGGAAGCTGCCATTACCCTGAAGAAAAAACAAGAAAAAAACAAAACAAAAATTAAATTAAACGTGGGAAAAAATTCTCAACAAATAGTTTGCATGTGTAAACGGAGTACCTCATCAGTCCCAGGACCAGTTGCATCACCTCGGGGATCAGGGGGGACAGTGGTGGACTCTTTCTTAGCCCCTGCTGGCCATGTCTGGTAAAAACCACAGAGGGAGTCACAAAACGATACATTTCGAGAGCAATTGTTTCAAACAGGAAAAAAACAAAATAAATATTTCACCTTTTCTGTCTGTAGCTTAGAGCCCTGCTGAAATAGAAGGTGAATTACAGTTAGATCAGCCGATTTCAAATGTGCATGCACTAATCAGAACGCAGCTTGCAAGTTATTAAAAAGCATAGAGTTGACTCAATAAAAAAAAGATCTAAGATTTCCTAGAATATGTATTTTTTTAAAAAATACATATTTCCTGTTTCATGCCTGAGGTGCATAAAATGTTGCTGAATAGATAATACCTCCTTATTAAATAAAAGGGGAAAAAAAATCACACTTTAGTGTCACTGGGGCATGCATCCTGCATGTAAGCATTAGAAGAAGCATAAGTGAGTGGTCAACACTGTTAGTGGTGCACCAAGCAGACAGATGAGCTGTCTGGTTGCTTTAGTAGCCAGACGTCATTACAACACACTTACCACATCCACGCTGCTCTGACTCAATAGACTCAGCTGTGTTATTATCATTAAGCCTTAGCGTTGAGTCATCAAAGCTTATTGCTCCAGCTTTTAATTCAAAGTGATACACACAGTAAACTGATTTCATTGGTTTAGTTTAAACCACAATGACACTGAATGATTTTCTACCAAGAGAATCATAATTAGACAGGTTGTCGTAGCTCCATAGCCATGCATTTTTGGTGCATGTTTATGTCCTAGATTTGTTGTCCTTTTTCATTATTCCTTTCCCAGACAACAGTGAAAATGGTAGAAAACAGTAAAAGCAATAAAAATACAAAGAAAGAGACATTTAAAAAGTGCATCTTAACAACATAAAATTGTCATGATTCTTCGAATGCTGGTACTGAAAGGTACCAGTCAGGATAACAAGCTTGTTTAAAACAGAATGCCTTAAGTTGCTTTTTAAAAGCATCAGTGGAGTCCAACGATCGCAAATAGTTTAGGAGTTCATTCCCCAATCTTGGAATATTTATCTATTCACAAATATATAAATATTGGAAGGTATTTTTTATTTTATTTTTTTAAATTTACCTGCAGTGGGAGTTGTGGTCTTTGTGTGGCTCTTTCCAGTTTCTGCTGTCCATTGTTGGGCAGAACCGCAGTGTTCCTCTGCTGAGCATAGCCATACCGGGGTACAAAGTAAGAGTAGCCCTAAAAAAACAAAAAAACAAAATGCAATCAACAATAAAAATTTTAATTAACGTGATGCTTACAAATGGGTCAGTTTGTGTAAATAAAAACCTGCTGTCTGTGAAGCTGTGGGAATCCAAAAGATGGATACTGAAACTGTGGATACATCTGCAAAAAAAAAAAAAAAACTCTCATCAGTGTGCAAAGATCCTTGCATCAGGTGCATTGGTGAAACAATCTAATTGTGTGGTCCTCAAGTTGTTGGTCTGTTACCTGGACCGGGTTCTGGGCTTGCTGAGGACCGTTGGGATTGTTGGGGTCTTGTGCTGGTCCAAGCTGCTCTTGCTGCCCGTTAGGGACGAGCATGGGTGTTAGCTGGTTGCCTTGGTTGGGAAGCAGCAGCTGTGGCCCCTGGGGACCAAAAGGACCTGCCAGTTGGGGGTTCAAATTCAACACCTGTGGGGTGAGCAAGACGTCTGGAGTTTGCTGCTGCAGCACATACTGGGGTAATATTGAGCCCTGGAGAAAGTAAAAGCACATATTAATCCATTGTTTTAAATGCAGAGCACAGGAAAACGGAAATGTCTCAGCAGCTTTTTAAGCACCTGTGTTTGTCCAAGAGCTGCAAGAGTCAATCCATTCAGCCTCAGGATCTGATCAACAAAACGGTGAAATTAGATCAACTTATATCATTTATTGCATAACGACAAACGCAGATATTTAAATGTGATTTACCTCATTGCTGTTGCTTGCAATAATTCCAATCTGAACCTTCAAGAAGACGTGCAGAATATTTAATCTAATGTTGAAATAGCATACTTTGTTCTTGTGTAATAATGTTGGATATAACTGAAACTCACTGGCAGAGCAAGGCTTGACCTAAAAAGGCAGATTACCAGAAGGGCACTTTGCAGCTTCATCGTGTCCTGCAGTGAGCCGAAACATGCACATTTTGTTAAAAGTTCGTAAAATACCAGTCGCCTCGGACTTCTTCAAAATCTCAGCGTGTCAAAGTCATCTTACCTTTTCTCTTCTCTTCTCTTTTTCTCTCTTCTCTTTTTTTCTCTTCTTTTTTTCTCTTCTCTTCTCTTCTCTTCTCTTCTCTTCTCTTCTCTTCTCTTCTGTCCCTTTCAGTGTCTGCCTTCTCTGTTTCGGGTTCAGATGCCTTTTAAATTGTCAGAATGTGAGTTTTAATAGTCCACCAGCAGCGCGTCCAGACAATATGCGGTCAGAATGACAGACGTTTCTCATGACAACAGACTCAGACACTTACAACACAGAACTGCTAAGTATGTCATTAAATGTAAGTCATGTCTCTGAGCACCATGACATGCCCGGTGTGGAGTTGTTCATAACTCCGCAGAGATTCATAATCTCTAACAGTGTGTACTTTCTACCTGCAGAGATGACAGAATCTGCAGACTGTCTTAGTGTTTTGCACTTCGTTGACACTTTTTCACATCTTCGACAAACTTACTCAAGACACTCATTCTCTTTGTGATTACATGCACGTGTTAACACTGGTAGCGTGTAATTAAGTGCATTAGGAGGGACACAAATTTTTTGCATGTCATGAGAAAAAAGAAAGAAAAAAGGGAGCAAAGAGCTCACGATCAGACATTTGCTAAAAATCATTCGTGCCAGGTGGATAGATCCTGATGTCTAAAGGATCACAGTTAACTCTCTGCAGATTTATCTACTATACCTGCTCCATCCTTGTTAGAATGACCCAGTTGAAATCTGGACGTAAATCCAATTGAGGACCTTCAGGGAGATACGAACATGAAAGTTCAGACATGCTAATGGTCTAAAAGTTCAGTCTCCAGACGTTTAAAACTGTTAGACAAAAGACTTACAGCTGTAATTGTAGTTCTGTAATGCGCAGTTCAGTTTCTGTGTTGACTCACACTTTGATAGAAACTCAATCAATTTTTTTTCCCACTTCAGATTATGTACTAAATCAAACGTGTGACTTTCACACTTTGTCACAACCACAAACTTCATTTTGTG